TCTCACAAACACACTACTTTCCTAAGATTCAACAGCTTTCTCCTTTTGGGAAAAAAGAGAGAGAGAGAGAAAGAGAGAGAGAAAGAGAGAGAGAGAAGGAAATAAAAGAAAGCTACCACATTGTGATTCTCCCAATAGAACTCTTTTAAGTTGTATATTGGCCCCTGTATGTATGACATATGATGCCTCCTGGACATCACTGCATCCCCTCAGACAATCTTACTTCTTAAGCCATCCCTGCAGCAACCAGATGTACAAGCTGACATCAGCACCTTCCTCAGTGGCCATTCTGATACAAACGTAAACCTGAAAGTCCAAGGGAGTTAACATTCTTGACCAACGGGGGATAAATACTCCCCTTTTTGGCTTCTCAAGTGATCTATTCTGAGGTACTTTCTGCAGAACTCCTTAAAGGATCCCCAGCAGGACTGAGGCCCCAGTGCCCTGCTGGAGTGATCAACTCATTATATAATGCACCTTTCTATCAGCTCTCTCCACAGCCTTGTTTTCACTCTTCTCAGTCTAATTTCAGCTCACTGGCATTACTTCCCAGTATGAATTATTTGCATAAGAGCCCTTGTTTGAGGCTCTTCTTTTTGGGGAGATCCAGCTCAAGACAACCACGCCTTCCAATCAAGATATTCCTTTTTTAGTCAAGTAGTTCCTATGATCTAGGAAACATGTCTAGCTCTCTAACATGGTCAATTAATGCTTAACTTATGAAGGTCAAAACTGTTTCCTATAATTGAAGTATTTTATAAGCATCTTCTTTTCACTCCAAATACAGCTGAGTACATGAAAGAGAATGGAGGTAGGAGCAGAATCCTACAAGAAAGACTCGACAACAGAGCTCCAGGCTTTACTGTGTCTTCAGACCTGTGATTCTTAGCTGTTTGTTAAGACTGACTGAGAAAGTCTGTGAAGACACCTGACTCCCTACCAACCTACTATATTAAACTCCTCATGTTTGTGTGTTTCAGCACATGAGTCTTTCCAAAACTCCCCAGTCATTTGGATGTACACTCTCAGTTAAGAATCATCACTGTAGACCCATTGAGCTACCCAAGAAGAAAATCGTATCCAACCAGTTATTAGTGCTACCTCACCTAAAATATACACAAAGAGATAACTGCTACTTTCAAAATGAGTATGAGTAAAAACATATATTAGCTGTCTGCAAAAGACAGCCCAGAACATTTTGTTTCTTCAGTAGGTATAGCAAGATTGTCAATCCAAAATTAAAATCTAAATGACAGGAATCTATTAATTTCTTAAGATACTATGATGGCTTAGGTACCATAAGAGATATGGGGGATGAAAAGATGAATAGGAAAAAGTCTGCTTTCAAGGATAGTTAACACCAGTGTATCAAATGAACTGGTCACAACTTTACTTTTTTGTCTTCCACTTTTCATTTAAACCTGCTCAGGGAGAGAAGTTTCTCCCCTTATGTTTGAAAACTCTGTTAAGTCTAACTCCATCAATCACTCTTTAAGTAAGAAATGATACTATGGTTTCTTTAACTCACAAACCACTGTCTCAACTCAGTAATTTACTGTGTAAAAAAATAAAATCTTTGAACTTGAACTCCCTTCTCCCAGTTTGGACCAGTTACAGGGATGGCCATGCCATCTTTCAGGGGTATGTGGTTAACTTTCTCTTGTTTAGCTTGCTAACCATGGATCCTGGAACATTATGGGCTAGATGTGTAAAGGAAGGAGAGAAAGGTGTTTACTGAATATTCCTACTAGGTTGGCTTCTTAGAAGATAGTTTTAACTAGTTAGTTCTCATAATGTCCTAGGTCTGTATGTTATGACCTGGATGTTATGAGAACTGATACTTTCTTGTGGAGGACACTTCAGAGTTTTTGTTTTCCAACTTTGACACTGGCCCTGACTTTGACTCTCACACCAGGTGGTAACTCTCCTTCAGTTAGCAATTTTGACCCCTGTTCAGCTTCTGTTTTCTGACAGTCTCTGTGGCAGCGCATCACTCTATGGTCAAAACTATCTTGAGCAAGATCCAAGGTTTCGGATTCTTCACAGGTGTGTCACGCTCTCAAAGAGGTCTCCTTAAAGTCCCTCTCACTGGACTTGATATGAGAAGGTAGTTTTCTGTCCTTCCCTTTTGCTCTGTGTTAGATTCAGAGCATGGTAGCTCTCTCCAGAGATCTTGTCATGAATCTACCTTTCATATACCCCTCCCCACTCTTTTTATATTCTCAAGGTCAAGGTCTTTTCTTTTTCTTTTTAAATTTGCCAGAGGGCACGTGTGACTGCTGGAGCGAGACAGAGAGAAAGAAGGAAGGTAAGAAAAACAACTCCCAAGGGGAATGATCATGCTGCAATCTCATCTCCTCTATTTCTTCCCACTTCCAGTATTTTGGGCACTCAAGTGCCTGCATCTGATGTATTTCTCAAGCTGCCAGGTCTGGGACTCAAATCACATGGTCAGTCACCTGGGATCTAGCTATCTTAACCACTACACCATGGGCTGGCTCAGGTCTTTCCTTTGAAGCTTTCTATTTCTGTCTATCTCAGGACTCACCTTGGTAACTGACATCCAATGTAGCTTGGCACCTCAGTCAAATCATTTAACAAGATGGCACAATTGCAATATCATGTGGTAAGTGCAAATAAAAGATCTATGAATGTGACATTGATAGAATGAAGAAAATGGCCCCCTCACTCAACTGAAGGATGAATCATCCAGAAGATTGCTGGAGAAGGCAATTCCTTATTTTACTCTTTAATAATGGACATACTGGAGTTAGTAATGTCACAACTTTTCAAAGGACTTTTCTTGAGGGGAGCATGCTCAAGAAGACATCCCTATGCAAAAATACATGATAGACAGGTTTTTGAAAAACCAAAATGGTTACAAAGAAAATCTTAATAGGTTCTTTAATTTCTTCATTTAGTCTCTGCTATGATTTGAATGTGTCCTCCAAAGTTCATGTGTCAAAAACTTGACCCTCAATGTGGCAGTGTTAAGAGATGGAGCCTAATGGGAGGTATTTCGGTCATGGGAGCTCTACACACATAAATTAGTTAATGCCATTATCATGGGAGTGGATTCCTAATAAAAGAATGAGTTTGGCTCCCTCTCGTTCTCTCTCTAGCCCACGTGATGCCTTCTTCCATTTTATGATTGAGCAAGAAGGCCCTCACCAGATGCCAGCACCTTGATCTTGGTCTTCTCAGTCCCCAAAACCATGAGTCAATAAATTTTCATTCAATATGAATTATCTAGTCTGTAGTAGTCTGTAACTGAAGTATAAAATAAGTCTCTAGAGTTCCTAAAAATTTGTGCATGTAAGGCTAGCTCTATGGCCTGGTGGTTAAGGCACATGGATCCCATGTGGCCAACCCCATGGTTCAAGTCTGAGATCTGGCTGCTTAAGAAAAACTCCAGACTCCATGCCTAAAATCCTGAAAGGAGGGAGGGATGAAGAATAAGAGGTTGTAGTGTGACCATGCCCCATGGGGGCTGTGCTTTCTCCTCTCCTTCTCTTTCTGTCTCTTTCTGGCAACAGTATGCACCCTCTAGAAAAAAATTTATTCCCATAAATGCCACTGTAATGCCACTGTAATCTCAAAAATGCTGCAATTATTGATTAATCTTGGAGAATTTCTTAAAATTTTACATATGCTAAGACTAATAAGCTTTATTTTCTAAAGGAGAGCATGAAAATGTCATTTATGAATTTAAAATACATCTTGGTAAAAACTGACCTTGAGAGTCAAGAAGTATGAATACTTTAAAATAATGATCTCATTTAAAAAGTAGTTCAAATAAAATTTAATGGACTGTGAAACTGTAGTTTTAAATTGAGTGTACCTAGTAAAAAGCTTTGCATTGATAGGGAATATGAAAGGTCAACTGAAATATTATAATTATCTTAATAATATACACATTTGCTTATTAAGATGTCAATTATTTTGAAAGGTTTTTTTGGGGGGGGGGTTAAAGCAAGGAGCCATGTCTCTTGGCATCCTTATCATATCACAATTAATCATTTACCAAGTGTTCACACACATACTGCCCATGATGGATCATGCAATCAAAATATATGCTTCATCAGGGCTGCAAGAAAATTTTGACTAATTGCTGTAAAGCCAGAATTATATCCTAATACTAGATCTTGAGTTGATCTGTCAAAACCTTGAAAGTCATTTTCTGAAAAGAAAAGACAGCGGACATCTGGTCAATCAACTTTATTTATAATTAACCAAGTATGTTTTAATTACCTTTATATTGAGACATAATGGAAGAGACAGAGTAAGAAAAGACAAAATTTTTACCCTCAAAAATTTAAAAATCAGCTGGAGACGTACCACATAAGACAGTAAGAATTAAGGAGAACTACTCAGTAGCATTTGAGCCATGCAGGAGAACTTGGCACAGAGTAAACCTATGCAAGGGGATGCCATCAGTGACTATGGAGGAGGGCAATTGGGGTATACATCCTGGGAGGTGAGAAAAGCAATGAACCTGTGTTTCAGTCCCCCAGTTACCAGTGGCTTATTGTAGACCTTGGACAATTAAGTTACACTCCTATTGGCTTCAGTTTGTTTAACTCTAAAATAGAAGGTGAGGACTAAATGGTATCTAAGGTCTTCCAAGTACTATGATACAGGGTTTTAAGGACAAATGCAAAAAACCAGGGAGGGTGAGGATGTCATAGGTAAGAGGAAGGACAACCACAAAGCCACAGAGATGGGAAAAAACTAGTTATTTGTGCAGGATCAAGGAATGTTGCGGGGCAGCAAGAACCTCAAAGAAGCCTGTTTAACTGTTCTACAGATCCTGAGAGCAGTAGATTGGAAATGGATGAGACAATGTGCTAAGCCAGGTCAGCGATGCTAACCAAAGACCAAAATGGAGAGAGAGATGTATTTCTTGTGGTCAGAGTCTGACTTATCTTCCTCCTCCTCACCTTACTCCACATCCTTTATGTCTTTGTGGAACTTCGTTGTAACCCTGTCCCAAACCGATACGGTGAGCTTTGGTAGCAAACGCTCTTTCTTTAGACTCGCACAAGCAACCCCCTTTTGTGGGCCAGAAAGCCAAGAGCCATTGCTGAAAAGATGGTGGTCAATCCAATCAGCCTCAGCAGTCCTGGCACAGAGGGCAAATGTCTCTCCATGAAGGTTGTGGTGATGGGCCGTGCAGGAACATCCTGGGTTCAAAGAACATTTGGTGTTAGTACAGGGTTTATGCACTTTATTCCAGTAAACCTGTATTTCCTTCATTTCTCTGAATGTGACCTACTCTTTCCAACCTCTAGGCTGTTAAACATAATGTTCCCTTTGGCCAGTTGTGGTGGCATAACAGTAACACAACACTCTGCAATGCTGAGACCATATGGGAATGGTTGAAATCCTGAGGCATCCCTGTACATGCCATGAGCGCACACATGTGTCTGTGATCCTCACTGGCTGAGGTCGGAGGTAGGATTGTGGTATGAAGATCCTGTTGGATACAGTCTCTCTCTCACATTAAATTAACTAACTAAAAAACTAACATGGGGTGGGGGTGGGGGGGGATGTGACATTCTCTCTACTTACAGCATTCGCTTCCTCTTCCTCACTGGGATCTTTACTTAACTTGACCTTCTCAGATAATCTTTCCTGAGCCCTTAGCTTAGGATGGACCCCTCTTTTTCCATTCTCCCTCAGCATGTACACTGTATTATACTTGCACTTTTTGTTCATTACCTATAATCTCTACCAGGTGTTGAGCTCCACAGACATACTCTGCTATACCCTTACCACAATGGTTGATGCTAAACATGCAGACCATCAATGTTTTCCAAATGAATGAATCAATGGCCTGCCCTGCTTTCATTTCCATCACATACAGAAGCACTGAGAGACTGGGATGACTGGAATGCATGGCAGGGTTTTGCTCTTTGACTTCCCACTTAAAAAAACAGGAATACTTTAACTTTGGCTTTTGTCCCCTGTGATGTGTTTTTTTTTTTTTTTTTTTGGAGAGATTTTCACTGTAGGGCGCGTGCGCTCGCCAGACAGACAGAGAGAGACATAGAGACAGAAAGCGAGAAATCACCCCCCGGGGGGATGGTCACGCCGCAATCCCTTCTCCTCCATTCTCCTCTCGGGATCTTGGGCATGCACGCACATGCGCCCGGCGTGAGTTTTAAGCCACCGGGTCCAGGACACGAACCACGGTCGACTACGTGGGAGTCCAGCGACATAGCCATTACACTAACTGCTGGTTCCCCCCCGTGATGTGTTTTTAATCTATCCTCTGTGTACCTTTCCTTCCAGCCAGAAACATTTCCTGGGGTTTAGTTACAGAATTGATACATATATTGGAAAATGAATTTTTAATCTAAATATGACCCTTTTCCCCTGGGCAACTTTCTTCCTTCTTCTACTCTCTATTAAGAATCACCAGGTTAGATATTTATTCAATAGGCATTTATTGAGTTCTTAGTATATATAGAACTTTCAGAGAAATGTCTCCAGTTCAGAGGAAAAAGCTCTACATTCATGAAACATTGTATAGCCTACCACAGATTCTGGTTCTGACTGCCAGATTTCATCCTCTGGAATCTTCCCTATGGCATGCAGGATCTGAAATTAAAGAGCACATTGGTCAATAGCAAAACTGGTACTGTCTTCTAATCTGCTCTTTAAATGAAGGTCTAAGCAAATGTCTCTTGGGATGTTCATCAAAAACACCAGGGTAAAGGCCAGAGCAGTCTACTCAACCTTTAAAAGGCTCCCCAAACTCTTTCATCTATGGCATAAGAAGTTCCAACTATTATGCTCACTGTAAATTTTAATAGCTGTGAACACAACTTAATAGGGATAAGATCAGAAGAACTGTCAGGGAAGATAAAATGAATTCTGAGCTCTAAAATAAACCTGTTTGATTCTATAATATCAGACCTAGGTTACCTCTCAAGTATAACTATCATGACCTTTTGCCACTTGGGCTTTTTTACTTGGGTGACATGTTAGAAACTTTTGTTATTGTTTAAGGGGAAGGCATTCACTTCACCTGAGATTGCTGTTAAAATGGTGTTCCATAGGATTTCAAATGAAGGTCACCAAAACATTGACCTCCAGGATCTCAGACATCTTTGATTTGCTTGTGGGTTTATGAATTGCTCCCTTCCCACAGCCCATGACTCTGGGCCCTACCTCTCGGGCTGCTCTCTCCCCAGCCTCCACAGCCCCCTCCATGTAGCCGCTCCAATGTGTGGCAGTCTCAGTGCCTGCAAAGAAAATCCTGCCCACTGGCTGGCGCAGAACCCTTGGAACAAAAGTAAAGGGAGATAAAAGTGGTCAGTCTCAGAGCCAGAGACAGCTTTCTCACAAACAACAATGCTGGTCACTTTCCTCAGATTATAAACATCAAGGTGAATATTGGCAGTTTTGAAGGAAAGTTCATTAGGTTCCTCTAGCTATGTGTGATCTTTGTCATAGACAAAACGGAATGAGAACCAAAGCCCACATTTACATCATGAGCTTACAGGTAAACGAACTGACATTGATGGAAGTAAAATACAGATTTGCTTCATCTACATGAAGTGAGGGACTATATGAGCCCAATCACATATGGCTCTCTTTATGGCTCACTAGCTCTGGGCAAGGTAACACATGCCCCCAATTCCCCACCTGGTTATTCCACCAGTGAACTTGGCAAATCATTCCCTCTCATTGAACTCTGGCTTCTTCATCTCTTTCTTTCTCTTTTAAAAATTTTATCCTTTCTTTTATGAAAGAAAGAGAGAGAGACCTCCCAACAAGATGTTCATGCCTTGATCCACCTCTAGTCTCAAATGGCCTGGATCATGGACATGCATGTGTGCACTCTGCTTCTTCAAAGAGGTCGTAGGATATGAACCAAGAGCATTTCCCACGTGGGTCCAGTTGAACTACTGCTGCACCACTGCCTAGCCCCTGGCTTCCTCATCTTTTAAAGGGCATGGTTCGATGATTTGAAAGACCTTTCTAATCAGTAACATTTAACAATACTTTGGGTCTGACAATAGCACCATAACTACCATTCATTAAGCACTTGCCTCTACCAGTGTTGAGTTTTACTGCATTAAGTGGTAACAGTGAACATGTGTTGGGTGCCAAGTATTCTTTTTTTTTTTTTTTGAGAGAGATTTTCGCTATAGGGCGCGTGCGCTCGCCAGACAGACAGAGAGAGACATAGAGACAGAAAGCGAGAAATCACCCCCCAGGGGGGATGGTCACGCCGCAATCCCCTCTCCTCCATTCTCCTCTCGGGATCATGGGCACGCACGCACACGCGCCCGGCGTGAGTTTTAAGCCACCGGGTCCGGGACGTGAACCGCGGTCGACTACGTGGGAGTCCAGCGACATAGCTATTACGCTAACTGCTGGTTCCCCCAAGTATTCTTTTAAGTGCATTGATCCTCAACACAAATTTGTAAGGCTTACTATTACTGTCCCCATTTTGCAGATAAGAATAGGAGACAGCCTGTGGCAAACATAGTGATATTCCACCTAGATTATCTTCAAAAAAGGATTATTTATTCTGGGAGTGGGAGTGCTGCCAGAAGGTGGACTTTTTATGTCAACCCTCTTTGGAGATTACCTTCACTGAAGACAACTGCCTCTTGTCAGACCCCTGAACTCACATTACCTCATGCTTCTTCCCAACAGCAGTTACATCCAGTCACTGATCATCATGGGCCTATAAAATTCAAAGCCTGAGACCCAACTAGAGACTATTCTAAAGGGCCATTCTAGTTCCAGGATTCCCTGTGGAGTCAGTTGAAGCCCTCATTGGAACTACATTGTGGCTCAACTTTTTCCTCTGTCTACCCTTGCTTTCTTCCCTTCCCTTTCACAAGTATTAATTCCAATGGCATGCCATTCCATGGGTTGTTGGAAAGGCCATGACACATTTTTGCATAGAAAAATATGCATCATGACTTTTCCAACAACCCAATATATCCTGTCCATTAATTGCTGTTTTAGACTCTTTCCTAGGACCTCACCACCAACAAAGACAAGGTAATTTGCTCTAGGTCACAGCTAGTAAGTGGCAGAACTGGTATTTGAACTCAGGCAATCTGACTCTAGAACCCACAGTCTTAACCACTTGGTTATACTTACTCTCTCCACTGCATTATTTCTTCAATCTTTTTAAGAACTGTATGACTTAGCTACCCTTATCATTATTTTTCATTACACATGAGGAAACAGAGGTTCAAATAAATGGGTAGTGACTTGCCAAAAGCCACACTTCTAGAATAGCAGAGCTGGGATTTAAAACAGGTCTACCAGATGTCAAAGTCTCTCTTTTTCTCCTATATGCTTTGCCTGGTGTATCATCATTAGTGGCCACATGCTATACAAAGAGATGGAAGTGCCACAGTACTTAGTCTATATGGGAGACAATTTCTTGTTACTCTGACAAAAATACCATAAGGGAAGCGCCATCAACATGCCAGTATTCACCCTATCTCAGATAACCACTGTATCAGATGAGAGATGTCAAGAGCTAGTGCTCATGTCCATTCTTAGTCAGCACTGCATACCACTGGGCATTTTATCAAAAAACAAAAAAACAAAACAAAACAAACAAACAAACAAACAAACAAAAAACAAAAAACCAAATAGGTTAGCTGGATTTGGTGGATTTTTCTTCATCTGCACTTTGCAGCCATCAATAAAAAAAAGGGCCCAGTCGAGCTGGTGTAGTCCATAGTGTACTGTCCATGGTGTGGTCCATTGTGGACTATGGTTCTGGAAGCCACATGACTGACAGCAAGGAATCCTCTCCCCACTCCAGTCTTGAAAATATGTTGGGCGTGTATGGGTACACAAGATCCTGAGGAACTAGAGGGCTGGGGGAAGGGGATCTTGGTGAGATGAGACCCTGTCAAGGATGCTCATCTTCCTCTATCTCTCTTTTTCTCTATCATTAAAAAAAAGAAGAAGAAAGGAGGAGAGAAAACACATGAGTGTTTAGAATATTGGTATACTGATAATACATGGAATGATCTGAAATTATCACATGCCTAAGGATATTCAGGAAGAGTTTCCTGCAAGAGAAGGTGGATTTACTTTCTTCTTACTAATTAAACAATGCTGCTTCCCCTCACATGTTCACTTTTCTTCTTATTTTCAAACAGAGGGAATTAACTTAGCTAGAGACCTCTGGGAAGTCTGGCCAAACCCTAAAGTTAAATACTGGGTTGTTGGAAAAATCATGACGCCTTTCGCATAGAAAAAGTTATGTTATGACTTTTCTGACAACTCAATATTACAAAGAGAACAAAGTCTTAGAGAACTAATCATGCTAACAATCAGAATACAAAACTGTATGTGTCAGGCAGTGGTAGAAACTAAGGCACAACTTAGCTTAATGACAGTACGGTTTTTCAAAGTAGGCATGCAGTACATGACAGGAGTAACACAATTGGACCCACATGGGAAAGGCCCTTAGTTCATGTCCTAAGACCTCCCTAAGCACATGCAAAAGTTCATATGATCTGGACTTGATGAAACTGGAGTAGATCAGTGCATGAAGATCTGTTAGGGGTTCTCTGCCATGGAAGACATAAATAAATACACACTAAAAAATATATAAGATTACAAGATTGGGACCAGCAGATGGCCTAGCAGCTACATTGTTAGACTTCCACATGGTCAACCATGGTTCAAATTCCAGACCCAGTGACTTGAAAATCATGCCAGGTACATGTGTGTGCATGTCCAAGATCCTGGGAGGAAAATAGAGGAGAAGGGATTATGGTGTGGCCATCCCCTCTGGAGGTCAATTTCTCACTTCCTCTCTCATGGTCTCTCTCTGTCTCTCTGGTGAGTACATGCATGCTAAGGTAAAAACACACACACACTATATATATATATATATATATGCATATATACATATATAATACACACACACACACACACATATATATATACATGTAATGCTAAGCAAAGTAAGTCAGACTATGAAAGACAAACACTGTATATCCCCCACTCAATATATTCTGAATGTCTGCATTCCATGGTAGAAATGGAAAGACCTGAAGACATAATAGCAGAGAGTACAAGTGTAGATACCAGGAACTATAGGAAGAGGAGTGGATAGCAGGTGGGTGGGAGGGGCTCAGGAAAGAAACTCTTAACAGACACAAAAATGTAATGTTCTCTCTTGAAAATGATGTATCCTTGATTTGACTGTCATGTACTGCATGCATACTTTGAAAAACCATACTGTCACTAAACTAAGTTGTGCCTTAGTTTCTACCTTATTAATGGAAAATAGTATAGGAAGCTTGATGTGTCCTTGGGGAAGAATAATGATGACACGGGGCTAATGTAACAAGTTACCACCAATGCCTGATATGATGGCATTGGTCTTGCTTCTTTCATGTGGTCAGGGTCAGCACTTTTCTAGCACTCTTTATAGGATGGAGCATAAAACTTGCCATTCTGTGGTCAGAAATAAATCATATCACACTTCTGATTTAAGATTAACTAAAAACAAAAGCAGTGCAACAGTGGCCTTTCTCTCCTGAAATTTTGCATTCCTAGGGCTGGTCCTGTAGCTCAGCATTTAAGAGAGCTGGATCCCACATGACTGACCGCAGTTTTGATCCTGGTCCTAGCTGCTTGAAAAGCACACCAGGGGTGTGTGTACATGTGCCCAAGGTCCTGATAAGATGAGAAAATGGAGGAAAAGGATTGCAGTATGACTACACCCCATTGGGGTATTCTCTCTCTCTCTTTTTCTCTCTCTCTGTCTCCCCCCCCCATCTTTGGAGAGTACACATGCCCTCTGACAGTAAAACCAAACCAAATTATATATTCCTGAATGTGTCATATGTGTCATATGAAGTAAAGGATCTTACTTTTCTTGTTCTGATTTTCCATTCTATTCTCAATGTCATTCACAGGCCAGCATGTGGAGTTTTACCCCAGACCTTCCAGGAACTTATAGGATTGCAAGTATTTGCTCAAACCTTACCATTCTCTCTGCCTGAACTGTAATCCTAATAGCCTTTCTTTGCCTCCTATAACCTTCAGGTGGTATAGGTATGAAGTCTTCACAAATATCTCTAAGAAAGGTTAGCAGCTTGTCCCTCTAGGTATTCCCATGGTATTTTTCTTCTCTTCTCTTTTCTTTTCTTTTTCTAAAGTTTATTTACTTCTTGAGGGAGAGAAACAAAGAGAGGCATCCCCAACAGGGTCTTAAGACCAATTCCCCACCCTAGCCTCAACCAGCCTGGATCAAGGGCACATACATGCCCCTGGCATATATAGGGAGACCTCAAGGGGCAAAGTCCATACCTCCCCACGTAGGTCCAGCATCACAGAATGTTGCATTACTACTGTGCCACTGGATGACTCCTCCATGGTACGTTTATGCTCCTCTATTAGGGCACTTATCTCAGTGCTTTGTAATAGATTTTTGATGTTTTTATCCTCTTCCTGTCCCCACTCTGGCCCCTAACACTGTCTGCTCCTTCTCAGCACAGTGGGGTGTCCTTCATATTGAAGTTTCCATCACAGTGCTTGGCAAATGGTTGGCACTTAGCCAATAATTGCTGAATGACAAATATTGTTGACAAATTCTATACTCTGAAAATAAATGATCCAGTAGCTTTTATCAGGTGGTGCCCTTTGGCCCCAGAATTCTCTTAGATAATATTTTTCCATCTTCTGGAAGATACAGAAAGTGCTAACCAAGTTCATTATGTATTTTCTGATAAGTAGGTTTTAATCCTTCTTTGACCAACCAGTTATGGACAGACTGCTTAGCTATTTCCATTTACTTACACCCTTTGTTTATTGTATAATCTTAACAGACTTTCACTCACCATTCTACATTTCCTAATTTGTTTATACTGAGAGCTCTTGGCATTAAATTTTTGCTTGGCTTAGTGTTACTTTAATGGTCATAATAATTGATATTATATCATTAATTCATGTCTTCTTGTCACCAAATTCAATTACCTAAACATTAATGGCTCATATGTGGATGTACAATACTGTAAATGCTAAAAGCCATTGAACTGAGCACTTTGAATAGGTGAATTGATGGCATATGAATTATGTCTCAATATAGGTGTTAAAAAGTAACGCATACTCTTGGGGCCAGCAGGAAGTGCAGTGGTTAAGGCATTGGACTCCCACATGTGGGTAACCCTGGTTCAAGTTCCAGACCTGGTGGCTTACTTTACCACTTTCCCTCTCTTTCTTGTCTCTTTTTGGCGAGCACATGTTCCCTATAGCAAATCAATAATAGTAAGAAGAAGATGAAATAAGTAATTAAAAAAATAACACATACTCTAATTAACACACTGATTATTGCCCACTATATGTCATCTAGTGCTTTCTCATCTATCTCCTAAGGAAAATGAGGGACAGAGAGGTGACCCGTCCAGGATGATGCAGTTGGTTATGGGTAGACTAGGGACTAGAACCCTGGGCCAGCCAGGTGGCATGGTGGTTGAAGAGACTGGATCATACATGGCTGACTGCATAGTTCAGGTCTCGGATCCAGTGGCATAAAAAAGACATTGGGCATGTGTACCTGAAATATCGAGAGGAGTATGGAAGAGAAGGGGTTGCGGCATGGTCATCTCCCTTGGGGCGGGGGGTTCTTTCTAACTTTCTTTCTCTCTGTCTCTGTCTCTCTCCAGCAAGCACACGTGCTCTATAGCAAATTTAAAATATATATACTAAAACCTAAGTCCCTTAATGCCCTGTTTAGAACTCATTTTGCTTTTATAATATTGTACCCATGTTAGTTTAGCACTTATACAGTTGCACTTGTGGAAAGTCTACTGAGTTCAGTTTAGAACTCAGTATAAGGAAACGTCTATCCTATAAATGAACCCTCTGACTATATAAATTGCTATTCATTTTTTAAAACTTTTTTTTTGAGAGAAACATTTTCGAAGGGTCTCACACTGCACTCCTTCTAGTCTTTTCCAGCTAGCCAGGATCATAGGTGCAGAGCACACACCCAACGTGCCCAGGTCAACCCAGGAACTGAATCTCAATCTTCGATATGGCTTCCATCACTGCAGAGTACTGTGCTACTGCTATACCACCATGATTGGGCCTAAATTGTTATTCTTATGCTGTAACCTCCAGTGGTTATATTGATTGGGATTGCTCCTCCAGAGGAATTAAGAGTGAAAGACAGACTCCTGGTGCACAATTATAATGACTTCATTCATAAGACTCACAAGATATAGTAGTCCCCCTTATCTGTTGAGGAAAAACATTCCAAGTCTCCATGGATGCCTGAAACTGTGGATAACACCAAACACTATATGTACTATTTTTTCCCCTATATATACATACATACCTATGATTAAGTTTAATTTATAAATTAGGCATGGTAAGAGATCAATTCAGTAACTAATAATAAAATAGAACAATTAAATCAATATACTATAATGTTATATGAATGTGTGCATACTCTCTCAAATTATTTTATTTGTATTGTACTCGCCTGTTTTCAGACTGTGGTTGACTGCAGGTATCTAAAACAGCAGAAAGCAAAGCTGTAGATGTGGTGGGTACAAGGAAATTAATTTTTTTTTTTTGCAGGGGGAGGCATTTAGAAGAACCAGGAGATAAAAGCTATATGAATCTGTTCACAGTTAGAGTTGGGATTTCAGGTGTAGGGGATCTTAGTCCCAGCTTAGAACATTTTTACTCTACCTTCCATATTGAGTCATGATCCCAGGGGGGAAGTAGGTGGTGTAGCAGCCCCCAGAGTACTGCTCCTCGCACCAGTTCTTCTCTTCATAGTGTACTGGCTGCAAGACAAAATAACAAAAGCTTGAAGGAGATGCAGAGGAAGCTATCTAGTCTAGTATAAATCAAACACACTCCAATAGTCTTTATACTGGCAAATCAATGTATTTCTGAAATACAGTCTCATTATTGTGATGTTTTTGAAGACATGCCATTGGATAGGTAAATATCCTTGGTAATAAACTATGAAATCCAAACTTTAGAAAGCTTTCTCAGGGCTGGCAGATGGCATGGTGGTTAAAGGTGCTGGACTCCCACACGGCCGACTGCAATTCGAGTTCCGGACCTGGCGGCTTGCTCACTCACTTTCTCTCTCTCTTTCTCTCTCTGTCCCTCTCTGGTCAAATTGAAATAAGTAAATAAATAAGCTAAATAAAATAATTCTTAAAAAAAGAGAAAGCTTTCTCAATTGGTTCATTCATGTCTTTGATAGTGTTCATAAACTATAATTTCTGTTTCCAGAGATCACATGCAGAGAGACAGAAAGACAGACAGACAGAGAAAGAGAGAGAGAGCACTCCCCAATGGGATGTGGTCACACTGCAATCTCTTTTCCTCCATTCTTCCATCCTGTCAGGATTTAGGGCATGCATGCATGCATGTCTGGCATGTTTATTAAGCCTCTGGGACTGGGATTCGAACCATAGTTGGCCATGTGGGATCTGGCTCCCATAACCACTAGGCAAAGGGGCTGACCTATTCATTTTTAATATTGCCCTTACCTGTTAAGTTTTTAGTGTCGGCACCAACAATTAGTGTAATGGCTATGTCAATGGACTCCCATGTAGTTGACAGCGGTTCGAGTCCTGGACCCGGTGGCTTAAACTCATGCCAGGTGCATGTGCATGCATGCCCAAGATCCTGAGAGGAGAATGGAAGAGAAGGGATTGCGGTGTGGCCATCCCTCTGGGGGGTGATTCCTCGCTTTCTGTCTCTCTCTGTCTTTCTAGTGAGTGCACATGCCCTACAGCAAAAATCTCTTAAAAAAAAGTTTTTAGTAGCTAAATGTTTGAAGAAAAGTTTTACAAAGGACTGATGCTTACTGGGAGGGTTAGACAGGGGAAAAAAACCAGAAACACATGTTTGCCAAAGAAAAAGGATGACCATATTCATGGTTTTGGTGGAAGTGAGGTTTGTTAAGGGAAGCTAGATAGAACAAACTAATGTTTTGTGACATGTTGGTACTCTTCTTGATGGTGGTAATTGTAAATAACCATTGGTTTGAAAAATAAGTTTTTGCCATGGAGAAGCAAAATTTTAGCTGAGATTTTTCAAAATTCAAACTCTTTATTCAAGTAACTAAACAGATGTTTTATCATTAAGCATTGTTTTGAAAAGATTAAAATCAGCATAGCAAGTTTTAAGAGAAAATGTTAGGTTAAAAACAGATTTTGAAAAATGTTTTGTTTAAAAAAATGTGCAACCATATAGCTACTTTGGATAATTATCTGTAAATAGGATAGGCATTCTATTTACAAAGAATAAGTCCCTGTCTGATGGGTTTATTGGTCCCAATCTATTGGGATGTCACTGTGCTGCAGGTCCAATAACTACAGACCACTTTTACCTCCTGAGCATCCTTCTCTAGCTGTTTCCAGCCAATCAGAAAAAAAGGTTGAACTTTATCTTTCATCTTTCCTTACTCCCAGGAATGTCTTCTACACAACAGACACCAAAGCAAGATAAAAGCGAGTGGCCTTCTCTATGCCAAGAGCAAAAAAAGACAGGACCAACTTAATGTTATCAGGAATTAATCCTCCACATTCTTTTTAGGCAAAGAGACTTTCCCACATGAAAAATGATCAACTATTTTGGAAATATGAGAACTGCTTTCTTCTCCATCTGAAGTTCCCCAAACAATCATCTTACACATAGCTGGAAGAACTTTAATTACAAATGGCTTTAGCCTGAGAGTGTCTCAGAGCCTAACCTCAAAACAGTTCAAAGGTCTGCCAGGGTAACATATCTTGAACAGCTTCTTATTTATTTTTTTAGAGGTTTTTGCCTTAGGGTGCATGAGTTTGCTGGAGAAAGAGAGATATAGAGACAGTGAGAGGGAAAGTGAGAAATCACCCCCACAGGAAAAATGGCCACATTGCATTCCCTTCTCCTTCATTCTCCCCCAGGGATCCTAGGCATGCATGCACATGTGCTTGGTATAATTTTCAAGCCACTGAGTCTGGGACTGGAACTGCAGTCGGTCATGTGGGAGTCCAGTGAAGTAACTGCTATGACATCTGCTGGTCCCTTGAACAACATTTAAAAAAAGGAAAAACTAACAATTTTTTAAAGAGATTTTTGCTAATGAATATGTGTGCTTGCCGGAGAGACACAGAGAAACAGTGAAAAATCACCCCCCGGGGGGATGGCCATGCCATAATCCCTTCTCCTCCATTTTCCTCTCAGGATCGTGGGCACACATGCACATATGCCCGGCATGTGCAACAGAGTTTTAAGCAACAGGGTCTGGGGCTTGAACCAGTCGACTAGGAGGCAGTCCAGCAACATAACCATTACACCATCTGCTGGTCTTCAAACTGACAATTTTTAACGATGTTAGATAAATATTTTTTAGTGTGTATATATTTTTGGTTTTGTTACTTTCTTTACCAACCCCAAAGTCTAGGGGCTCTATCCATTTTTTTCAAAGATTTTTTTTCTCCATAGGGCACTTATGCTCACCAAAAAGAGACAGAGAAAGCCAGAGAGAGAGAAAAAGTGAGAAATGACCCTCTAGGTAGAATGGCCACATGTAATCCCCTCTCCTCCATTCTCCTCTTGGGATTTTTGGCATGCACACACACATGCCTAGTGTGTTTTTCAGGCCACTGGGAATGGGACTTGGACTGCGGAGTAAGCCATGTGAGATCCAGTGCCTTAATCACCATGCCACCTGCTGGGTCCAAGGCTCTACCTATATTTAAACTGCTTAAATGATAAATGAAAGCAAAAATTGAAATGAAGCACATTCCTTATTTTTACAAAGGGCCTTCAAAAGGTAAAGGAAAAATGTGTATTATGAAAAAACTGGTTTCAAAAGGTATATGAAAAATGTGTATTATGAAAAAACTATGGGTGAATTTCAAAGGTTTTTTGCACCAAAATAAACTCATATTTTCCATGAACTTTTTAAAGTACTCTCATATCATGTTTCTCTCCAAACCAATTAATTGTTCTTGCTCAATTGCTGAGAAAGAACTCCAAAAAACCTCAAGAGCATTTGTTTCATCTATATCAAATACAGAACATCTGCAATGGGGGGGAAATATCTTCCTTTAAAATAATGAGCAGGACCAGCTCCACAGCTTAGTGTTTAAGGAAGCAGGATCTCACATGGCCAACTGAGTGGTTCAAATCTCAGCCCTGGAAACTTGAAAAATATGCTGGTCATGTGTGTTTGTGCCCAAAATCTCAAGAGGAAGATGAAATAGAGGAGAAGAGATTGTGGCATGACCATGCCCCATTGGGGGGGTGCTTTCTCTTTCTCCCTCTCCCTCTCTGTCTCTCTCTGGTAAGCACATGTGCCCTCTGGCAAATTAAAAAAGAAAGAACATAATGAACAGAAATAACAAAATCAAAAACCCAATGAACAAAAATAACAAAATCAAAAACCCACAATTTGACCAAGCAGAAGCAAGCCACTCCAAAGCTGAGCAAAAGTGTTAGAGAGATAGGACTAAGCCATGTAGCTGCTCAACTAGATCATGCTATGTAGTGCAGAGATTTGGATTTAAGAGGCTTAACAAGTTAAACATTCTTGGCCTCTTCATTAGATTTTTCTCACACTTTCACTGCTCATTTGTACATCAGTCTCCACTGTCTTCGAATGCTTCATGGAAAACAGGATTCAGTAATCACTTTTAAAAAGTGACATAATCCATGTCGAAATCATTAAAAACCCAGCAGTCTGGTAAATGTCACAAGAACATAGATTTGTCATTGTAAATATTGGGAGATGTTTATGGCTATTTGTAATGAGTACCCTCGACCCTCTGGCTGTCACCAAATGCCCAAAGAAAGAAGTGATGGTTTGCTTGCTTACCTTACTGCCTCCCTTCCCTGCCCCAATCCCACCTTTAACCACTCCAGGGTTCTAGGTGGGATGGTTAGGGCTGAACCAATCAGTCTATTTTTCTTTCACCCCTAATGTTCAAAGTAAAACAAGGCAGAAAAGGGGACAAACAAGAGGGAAGCAGGTCATCCTACTTTGATCTGTGAGACAATGAGGGGAAGGATGGATGTAGGTTTATAAATTTAAAAACTGACCAGCACCTGTGCAACCCCTCTGCAAACAGATTCAGAAAAACAGGACTGTAAGGGTCAAATTGCACAAACCCATTCATGCTGGCTCCTTGAAGACAAAGCAAGCGCTCGCTCCCTTAGGAAAGGGCTGAGACACAGCCTTACCTGCAGGGCTTCTTGGGATCCCAGAACTTTTGCATAAAGCTCACAAAGTTTCTTCAACCTACGAAATAAATAAATAAGTAAAGAAGGAAGGAAGGGAGGAAAAGAAAACATAAGAGATACCTATCCCCTCATTTAAAAACAAGACTCTGGGGACCAACAGTTAGGGTAATGGCTATGTGGCTGGACTCCCATGTAGTCGACCATAGTTCAAGTCTCAGACCTGGTAGCTTGAACTCACGCCAGGCACATGTGCGTGCGTGCCCCAGACCCCAAGTGGAGAATGGAGGAGAAGGGATTGCACATGGCTATCCTCCCTGGTGGGTGATTTCTCACTTTCTGTCTCTCTGTCTCTCTCTGTCTTTCTGGCAAGTGTATGTACCCTACCCTATGGCAAAAACCTCACAAACAAACAACAAAAACAAAAAAACAATAAGACTCTGTGAGCCATTACTTACAATTCAACATTTCATTTTTTTAAAAAATGAAGGCACTTGGTTCTGCTTCAAATGTCTCCAGTTTGTAAGGTTCTGAATATGAGATTATATGAGATGGCAAATCTTTAAGAAAGTGAAGTGTCACATTTCCTGAATCACTGGGAGCATGCAGTAATTTGTTCATTTATTCAAGAAAATATACCATGTCCCTTGTAAGTGTCAAGTACATCTGCTAAGCAATGGAGATTCTGGCCAACTCAAGACATACCCTTTCTTTTTCTTTTTCTTTTCTTTCTTTCTTTTCTTTTCTTTCTTTCTTTCTTTTTTTTTTTTTTTTTTTTTTTTTTTTTTTTGGGAGGTTTTTGTTATAGGGTGGATGGTTTTTGCTATAGGGTGCATGTGCTCGCCAGACAGACAGAGACAGAAAGCAAGAAATCAACCCCCAGGGGGGATGCCACGCCGCAGTCCCTTCTCCTCTATTCTCCTCTTGGGATCTTGGGCATGCATGCACACGCGCCCGGCGTGAGTTTAAGCCCCCGGGTCCAGGACTTGAACCGTGGTCGACTACGTGGGAGTCCAGCGATATAGTCATTACGCTAACTGCTGGTCCCAAGACATACCCTTTCTCACTCCACTTCCTATCCACTCTCAACTCATGGTCCTATATGAGGCAATGGGCACAGTGGAAAAGTGTGGAGAAAAGGAAAAGCTTTTAATTCTGCTTCTCTTACACCCTGAAAGATCTTCAGCAAGTAACTTAAGCTTTCTGAGCTTGTTTCATCAACAATCCAGCATGAGTTTTTCAATAACAATTTAAAACAGATTGTGTCTGGGCTAGAAGCATCAGCATCATCCCAGACCTTATTAGAAATGCCAGTTGTAAGGTCCCATCCTAGGTCTCCTGATTGGGAAATGGGAAGGACAGCAACCTGTGTTTTCACAAGCCTTCCAGTTCTATAACTGGCATATAGTAAATAAATGCTCAATAAATAGTAGCTCATAAGAAATTTAGTCAGCTGGAGGAATTGAAAAGAAACCAATATTGTAATGTCAATTAAGATATGAGGCAATAGTTATTTTAATAGTTATAGAATAACAATGCTAAAGGAAATCTTTGTGATGATTTGGAGGTAAGTCAGTGATTATAAAAAAATTATTGTTTTAAATATAGGAAATTATTTTACAAACTAAAGTGCATGAAAATGTCTTATTTTTCTCTCCCCCCCCTCTGTTTTCACATAAATAAAAGTTCGGTACAGACCAACCTCACAGCCTGGTGCTTAAAAGAGCTGAACCATGACCCACTGGAGGGAGTGCTTTCTCTTTCTCCCTTTCTCTGTATCTCTGGCTGTCTCTGGCAAATGCACATGCCCTCTGGCAATTAAAATATAGTTTGGTACAAGCAGAGGAATGAGTAGACAAAACTAAGAACTAAAATTAAATTTGGAAACAGAAACAACTATGTAAGAAAATTTATAAATCATAAAGATAGGCATTTTAAACCCATGGGGAAAAGACATATTATTTAATAAAATGGAATTGGGACAGACAGCTACCAAAGAAAGAAACAAAGTTGGACTCCTTCACTACTTCTGACAACAAAACATATTTCAGAAGGATCCAAGTTTTAGATATAGTAAATGACACTATAACAGTAATGGAATTAAAGCAAAAAGTAATTTTTATACACATGTGGATCAAGTCTCTCTCTAGATACCCTAGCAAGTGGTTTCGGCTTCTGCTTGAAACCTCAAAGAGTAGAAATTCATGATCTCAAATAGCAGATAACCAGCCTTCTACCTTCCTCTTCCTCTTCACTGCCTGAAATAATAAGAGTAATGTTTCATGAACTGCACTAATGATACCAACTATTATTGAGAAAGACAGAGTGGCCATTGGGCTACCTTTATAGGGTAGGGGAAAGATTTTTCTTTTTTTTTTTTTTGGAGAGGTTTTCGCTACAGGGCACGTGCACTCACCAGACAGACAGAGAGAGACATAGAGACAGAAAGCAAGAAATCACCCCCCGGGGGTATGGTCACGCCGCAATCCCTTCTCCTCCATTCTTCTCTCGGGATCTTGGGCACGCATGCACATGCGCCCGGCGTGAGTTTTAAGCCACCGGGTCTGGGACGCGAACCGCGGTCGACTACGTGGGAGTCCAGCGACATAGCTATTATGCTAACTGCTGGTTCCCGGGGAAAGATCTTTTTTTGTAAGGTTTCGGCCATAGGGCATGTGAAATCACCAGAGAGAGACAGTAAGAAGGAAAGTGAGAAATACCCCACAAGGGAGGATGGCCACATTGCATCCCTTCTCCTCCATTCTCCTCCTGGGATTTTGGGCATACACACATACATGTCCAGTAAGGTTTTCAAGCTGCCAGGTCAGGGACCTGAACTGCAGTTAGCCATCTGAGAGTTCAGTGCTTTAGCCACCATGCCACTGCTGACCCCAGTAGTGGGGAAATTTTATAAAGGAGGTAGGATTTGGCTACACAGAAAGATGGCAAACAGATAAAGTATTGAGGGATAAGGAAAACAGCCAAGAGTAAAGAATACAAGCAGGAAAAGGTAGGAATGCTTGAGAAACTGGTTAGATACCCCAAACAGAACAGTGGTAGCTAAAACTACCTTATTATGGACAAGCTTTGAGTGCTAGTCTGTGAAGCTTAGATTCAGGCTATCATTAATGGGAAGTCACTGAAACTTTGGGGATAGGATAGTGGCATGCAACAAAATTCTAGAACTCAAAAAAATGTTGGGAGGGTAGATGGTGGCACAGCAATAACATAATGTTTTGTGAGGTTGATCCACATGGGAAGGGTCCAGATTGGCATCTGCAAACCTTGATGAGAGTAGCAAGCATACATGTGCCCATAATTCAGGGCTGGCTGAGGCTAGAGGTGGATCATGGCATCAAGATTCTATTATGGACTGTCTCTGTGGTGTGGCAGTAGGTGCTGCTCAAGGGAAACCAGATCTCACATGGTGACCATGGTTTGAATCCCTTACCTGGTCAGCCTGAAATAACTCCAGGCATGTGCCCAAGTGTCTAGGATTCAATGGATTGAAAGACTGGAGGAAGAGGCTAATCTGTCTCTTTCTCACTCAATCATGAATAAAGAAAGAAGAAAAATAAAAACAAAGAAATAAATAAAGATACAATTTTAGGGCCAACCTGCAGCCTAGTTGTTAAGAAAGTTGATTCCATATGGTTGACCATGGTTCAAATTCCAGCTCCTGAGGCTTAAAATATATGCTAGGTACATCCATGCATGCTCAAAATCCCAACTGGATGGAGAAAAAAGAGGAGAAGGGGTAGAAGCATGCCCATGCTCAGTTGGAGAAATGCTTTCTCCCTTGCCCCCTCTCTCACTGCCTTTTTGTCTGTCTGTCTCTGGCAAGGACATACAACCTCTGGCAAGTACATATTTTAAATTATAAAACATTTTATGCATACTTTGAAAAATCATATTGTGCCTCACAAAGATGTACGATGATGAATCCTGAGATGGCTACTGAACTTCAGCTGCGAAAGATTGCTTTCAAGGACCAAAAATGAAGATATTTTGCTGAGACTTCTCCCTACAGATTCATTTATAGAAAAGCATAAACCCAGGCCCATCCTGAGATGGCTACTGAACCTGAGCTATGAAATACTGCTTTTTTGAGGTATGCATGTGGTTTTCATTTTTTGCCTTTTATAATTAAAATATAAAATTTTTATTGTCTTTTTTCTTTCTTCCTTCTTCTTTCCTCTTCTCTAATTCTTTTCCTTTTTCCTTT